CGCTCTCGAGGAATCCCACGAAACCTCAAATTTCGCCGAGGCAGCTCCCAGTTGGCGAGGCTTCATTTTCTGCGATTATCCAATCCTCTGTGATTACTACGATCTCGAAGGAGACTGATTGCACCGCTTCGTAGAATTTTCATCTATACAGAATCAACGAAGGAATTTTAACGAAGGAAGACGCTCCTTTTTCTTTGAAACCGTCGAACGGGAAGTTTCTATTATAATTTGTCGTCCAAAGGTTTCGAGATTGCGTTCTACAAAACTAATCGAGAATGTTTCAAAATTAATCACGAAAGTGATTTCTTTAGGAGGGATTCTTTACTTTTGAAATAGGACACAGAACAAAGTTTATTTCAAACACCCTGAAACTCATTATATACAAGTCGCGAACTTCTATTCTATTGCGAGCCACGGTTAACACGATTTCATACTTCCCAAATATAATTTCGCGGGGGAAATTAACCCGAACTTCACCGAAACGTTCTGCGAACGCTTCCAGCGAATCTATCTCTTACCAGTTATTACCGGTGGTTTCGTTCGTGTTTGATGAAAACAGTCGCAGTCTCGGTCCAGAACCACGAAAGCATCCAACAAATGGCAAAAGTTATCACAATAAGAATATAGAAAAAGGTATACAGTCAGTGGACAAAAAAGTACCAGCGACCAGTTTGCGAGCGATCTTTCTTAGTGTCTGCCACGGATGGAAAAGGTTAGGGACCGATATTTGATCAATAATAAAAGAAAATTCGATTTATAAGCAATATAGAAAAGTTGGTTTACAATATCTGCTACTTTTACAATTAAATAACAGTGGATGAAGTTCTATTCATTCATTGTGGTATTTGAAATTTTGCTTTGTCTGGATCTACTCTTCTTCTAAAAGTGAAACTAAAGTGAATCGCCCGACTGTCACGCGTGCCGAGCCAATGGCAAGTTCACCAAGTTCATTACACGCCGCTGGTTGCATTCGTAGATCTCTCTATTTCTATATTTAAACCGCAGCCTCGGAATAGATTCTCTTGAGACCGAAACGACAAAAGTTGATTAGTCCTTCGCAAACCGTTCTCTGCCATTGAAATTGTTCCATAGAAATCCACCAATTTTCAAAGAATTATCTTCTAAGCTGTTTTCAATTCAATTCTAACGTTAATAAATTAGACATTAGGAAATGACTTGAGAAAAAATTCTTCCAACCGTTAGATGTTCCCCTTGAAATAGTTCAATTTTATCTTGACAAGTTTTTTCACAAATTAGTAAATAAGACAGATATTTATGTGATCCAATTTAGCTGAGACACCCTGTACACCATAGTTATAGGTCTCTGTGACCCACTCACAATATGACTAAAAACAATTTTAAACTTCATCGATTATAAATATAAACAGTATTTGCCGACAAAAATCGTAAGTACACATGACCCGGAATCAAATGAATTTACGATGTGTGATACAATTAAACCCATTGTTCAAACTCTTACGATGTTTAAAGTTCCTAAGAATCTTAAACCGGTGTCACGGTGATTATAAATCACGTCAAAATCAAATCACTTTGTCTTAAAACAGATTCCGACAATCACGTAAAAATACATACGTGTTTCGAATGTCGTCCGCTAGTTTTCAAGTCACGTAAGGCAACTCGTTATAAAGAGACACACACACTACTGTACGGTTTTTTCGTTCAAGAGCATTAAAAAGGAAAGAATCTCGACCGACTTCCGCCAATGTGTGCACAATGATTACGAGGCCAAAGTTCGGGAGACATTAAAATAAACGGGTGAATCAACATCGAAATACACAGAGGAATTGTCTCATCCGCGGTTAACGAGAAAAAACGTTCGAAGGAGATACCTTTCCAACAACGGAGCTTAATCTACACTCTCTGATGAGGTGAAATTTTAATCGATACATGCAGCCGGTCTAATAATACATGCATTATTAAAGTAGACGGAAAGGATCGTACCTGAAATGATTTAACGAACCTCACGAATTAATCACGGAAAAGCACATTCTGAATCGATTTTATTCCTAATGAAATTATTTATTAATTTTATGTAGAGATCGTGTCGAAATATCAAGGATTAATGATCCTCGTTGTTAGACGGTCCGACCAAGAAAACATTTTTGTTTACGTGAAATATAAAAGGTTCAGACCCAAGTACTTTGGCTAACCTGTCCGACCGTTACTGACCGTTTCTACTTACCGCGAGAGAGAGAGAGAGATTCGCGACTCATCGTAGATCATGTTTATTTACTCATCCACGTGATCTGCTATTGAGGAAATCGAGCTTTATCGTTTGAGGAAGTTCGAAAGCTCCTGACATTTTTCTTCCGTTAAACTATGCTTCAAAGTATTAAAAATATAATTATCGGAAGTTAACTGTTCTTAGATATTTCCATCCCTTTTGAAACGGAGGAGAGAGTATCCACAGAAGAACTTGAACTTTTCTACTCTGAACCGCCACTGAAGCTTGCGTGTTTCGAGCCAGAAACGTTTTAAAACCGACTCGACGAAATTCCACGGATTCGTTGATCGCGCCGCCGTGTTGTTTACACGCCGGGGATTAAAACAACAACAACGAAATCGATTTTTATTTTTCCATCGACCAGTTTGTTGATACTTGCTGCAATTTCTTTTTTGCTAATTCTATAATTTTTTATTCTTTCTTAACACAATGTGTCAATCGTATTTGTTTGTTTTATTTAATTCATTTAACGGCAACGCAATTTTAGGATATGATTTAGAGAGGATAAACGATATACTACAGTGACAGTTCAGAAATTTCTGTATCGAGACATAAACGTAGTTTGTGTAGAAAATATAATAGGTCTGCAATTTGCACGCCACGTGTTGCCATTAAGGAAAAGTAAAATCGTAAACATAGTGAAATTATTCTGTTGCCTATTCGTTTACTGTCATTTTCGTGGCTAAACTACTAGCGATAACAGGATCGACACCGTTGTATAAATTTTTCAAATTAGTGTCTTCTTTTAGCCTGCATCGACGTATTTAGATCCATAAAAGTTATAGTAAAACCATTTTAAACGAGTACTATAAATCATCAAATCAAATTAATGATATTACTCTCTTGTGAGACACTATGAATACTCAATTACATTCTATAAAACGTTTAACTTTTCAAAAAATTTCGAAGGCTTTAGTGTTTAATAAAATTCGAAATGTCTTGTCCTTTTTCTTTTAACTAAAGGTACTTTTATCGAAGTTTTAACCTTTGTTTTTTTTTCTATGGGAAGAGTTCATGCATTACTCGTTAAAATATTGAATGTATCACAGAAAATATAAATACGAAAAAAACTACAACGTTGACTAATCATTAACAAAACCACGTTCATTCGTAACCTTATTAAAGGTAAAATATTTGCATTTCTTTCATTACGACTCGAATAAATTACTATAGATCGCGTATGAAAATTATTATAGTGTCGTTGTGTACGGTATTCCCCAGAGAAAGCCGTGCACGAACTACTTCCTGGAATTGCTCGTTAAAATGTTTGTAAGCACTTGTGTTTGGCCATTAATCAGGACCATTCGGAAGTTCAAATAATTGGGAAATTCTGACGGGCGTTCGCTTATCAGCGCGAAACTCCGTGTTAAGTCGTCGTCGAAATAATTCCGGCGCGCTATCGCCATGATTTCGAAACGAGTTTCGACTCCGAATCCCCAATTTACATCCTAAAGAAGCCCTCCTGTCGTTCAAATTAAACGGAGCATCAAAGTAAAAAGTGTGTCTCGGCGGCACGGAACGAACAACTGTTCGTTGTTGACACACGTTCAAACGTCAACCCACATCATCCATCGATCTACGTGAAAGATATCGCGCGATTATCGACTCGTCTATCGATAAAAACGAAAAAAATTCCGTTCTATTATTATTCTTTAATTCTGTTTAATTGCGCCTCGTTCCGGATCTATTATTGTTCGTCGAGGCTCGATTTACCGTTCCGTGAATAATTCAACGAACCCCCGATCGCCGAAACATTGGAGAGGTAAGCTCGCCGAGGGAAATAGAAATTGGTCTGAAGGTTCACTAAACCCATCGTGTTCTATCTACCTGGTATTTAATTAAAAGTAAAAACGTGACTTAAAATATCCGTCCGTGAGCTCTCGATAGAACAATCGAGTGTAAACATTTGTACACAATCTTTATTTATGTATTCTCACTGTCTTCACTGTTATTGTCGTTTTTTGCGATACTTTTGTCTGAATTTCGAAAGGAAATTCCCGGTTTGGTAATTTGCTCAAATAAACGCGACATAGTTTTCCCTGAGAAAACGTAAGTCGCTGTAAATTGACGGTCTTTTATTTGCAATTCATCGGTCGAAAAAAAATTCAAACATTTCTGTACGTCGAACGGAAAATTCGAAACATGACAGTTCAATCAGCGAAGCGTAAATTTCATAACCTGTATGTACACCGTTAAGTAATTCCAACACTATTACCAACCGTATCAATTTCGATTCATTTCTGAACAATTTCGAAAATTAATAATGTTATAAATAGACTGCGGATTTTATGCATTTATAGTGTTCAAAATTGTCTAACGCTAGAACAATCAAACCTGTCAAAGTGACAGATTTCATATTTCTTGCTATACAATTACTGAAATCATGCAAGTGCTTCGATTAGAATTTTACACAATATACTACGTCATACATTATATATGTATATCAATATATTACACAATTTACGTTTAATATACGTATGCATTTAACACTAGTAGACTGTATCCGCATAGACATCCGCAATCCACTTATAAATAACCACCGGCCCGTAAACCGAAATTTCGCCCGAAACACCTCCGGAATACGTCAACGTTTCCCGCGCGAGCGCCACTGGTTTCCAAACTGGCTCCATCGTGGTACGCAGGTGTGTCGAATGGGGAAGCTGTGTGGGGGTTACAGGGTCGCTCGAGTATACGCGGAGCAACCCCCCAGACGTCGTTGAACTTGGAGAGAACGTGGGTACGACTCGAGTCTTACCTGCGGCTGCCGCGACGTACTGGAGCGTCGTCGAGCCCTTCTCCGCCATATTGTTCACAGGACACTTGCCGTTTACACCGTTAATAGTCGTGGAACCAAGTCGATGGTCGTATCTACCGGCACCGTTTCGGTCAGTATGTCTGTCAAGGGTGGTTGTATCGTGCACTTCCGTGGAGGAACTCGCTGGCACGGGGCTGTAGGCATACGGCCGCTCTTTATACGCTTTACGCTCTTTATACCGCCCCTCTATTTCCTCGTCGCCGTGGGTGGGGGCCATTTCACTCCCTCCTCTATCTCTATTACACGCTCGATAAACAGCTGACCTCTCTGTCTCTCCCTCTCACTCCCTTCCTCCTTCCTTCCGCGACCGGCCGATTCGGTTGGTTCACACACAAACAGTGTATGTGTGTGTGTGTGTGTGTGTACTGGAGGCGAGTTCCTCGCGGCGAGAGAATGACCACCAGGAAAATGCAACGACCGTCGTGTCCTCTCGTGTCCTCGACCCTGCAACCAATCATCGTGTCAAGGTCACCGCTGCTGGATTCGACGATCGACCCTCCGTCCCTTTGACGGTTCAACCCTAGTACGCGACCTCGACAATATTGTACGTGGGAAATGGGAAAATTGTATGGTTAGTTGGTTTGTTGGAGCATCGATGATGGAGTGGTAGCCGGTGGGTTAGGGTACGGAGAACTATCAATGGGAACATTTTTTTCGACGGTCCGATTGGACTAGTTTTAGCCCAAGGGTTAAGTTTAACTAGGTTTTGTTGACGGTTGGAAATTGCATTCGAATTTCAACTTTTGTTCGATAGATAGATCGTGAATTTTATGCATTTATCATAAATTTGTGGATGCACAAAATAACGGTAAAGTAACAATTTTCGTCGAGATTAGCATCGAAGCATATCATAGACATAACTTAAGTTCAATAAAGTGATCCATAGAAATTTGAATTGGCATAAAGATCCGCAGTCTGTTGATAGACTTTGTATTTGTGATGGGATTTGGGATTTTTTAGTTATTCTTGTTCTTTGAGGAAATTGAATTCCCTGGGCACACCTTACTAGTTGTCTCATCGTGTTATCAGACTGACAGGATTATGTAATAATAATTACACGCTCTGTTATCTGGAAACGCAGCACTAGATCGCAGTCGTATATAATGGCGTGTTGGCAAGAGGTGGGAAGAAACGGCGGAGAATCTTACTGACAAATGAATATTCGTGTCAACGTGTCAATCGTCGAGTCGCAATTGGGCCAAGTCACGCAAAAACCTACCAACCCTTAAAATGACAAAAAATTAGTCACCACAATACAGATCCCATAACTTTATGAATTTTATTTTGCAATAAATTACCAACTCTTCTACTATACAATTATTAAAACTACCAAGCTATTGTAACAATTACTCGAAGCGAACTCTAAGTACCACTTTTGTCCTAATCGCTACTAGGAACCTACTTCGTGTCAAACTTGACAATTTGAACCTGAACTATATAATTTGAAATTGCACTCCAATTATAACACGAACTTTCCCTCCCACTCCCCATACGTTTCAACGTGTGTATTTCTAAGTATTCACTCCCACTTTTACTCCGCCTTTTACCGTGCACCCGGTACTTATACAAAAAAAAAAAAAGAATCAGCTCGTACCACTCCCATTCTACTCTATTTTGGACATGCAAATTAGTGTCCGTGGTATTCGAGCCTCAGAAGCGCAAAAAGGTAACTCGCGTAAAAGTTCGAACTACTACTGTGATTCTACCATGGTCAAGGTCGGATAACCAGTAGTGGCGATCATTGATGATTATCAATGTCAAAAGTAATTAAAGCCTACTTGCACCAAATACTTGTACGACTCTCAATATAAAGTAATGTAACATAAATCAGTCATCGTCAATGCGATAATTTTATATAATGTTTTATTGATACCAGAGATGAGCAACTTTGTTATCTAGATGAAGACTCTCGAATAACGAACAAAAGATAAAAAAAGTACTTCGCTCTTTTTAACTGATTAAACGTGGAAATTCCAACATTTTACAATAAAATAATGCTTCTTCAATGAGTAGACACTTGGCAAACGATTGTTTACTCTCACTAACTATTTAAAAATCACGATAACGCTTGTAGATACTGCTCTTTTTTAATATTCCGTCTAATTGTACCCTACATATAATGAAAATTTCGCTTCGACTGAAAAATTGGCATTTTTTTCGGAAGAACTAGTTTCCTCGCCAATATGGCTATAAGCAAGCAAAATTCACGATCGTTCATTGGAAGTTTCCAAAATTGAATTGAGGAGAGCAAAAAAATACTGAGCGGCGGCGTGTGAAGATTGCATGGCGTTCAACGTGTTAACCGACAGTTTCTTTATTGTCCCCCGAAGTCGGAGGGATCGGATCAGCCAAGAAAATTTGATGTTTTTCTTTGCGGTCGGCAAGAGAATTTCCACCGAACTCGAGGCCGTCGTAAGAAGGAATTGATATCGGGGCCATTCTGCGCGAATCCATTTACCACGATGTAGACCACCTACACGGATCGGGATAAAATTCCTCCGCGAGCTTGTTCTTATTGTGACGTGTCTGAATGAAAAAAAATCGATAACACTTGCCACGGAATATTTCGACGAGCGTAATTAACAGTATCAAGCCGTTTCAATAATCCTTACGCGATTCGTGTTGACTTTCGACAGCTCCTGTAATTGCTAATTCGCGAACTTCAATTTATTGGTATCGTATTGAAGGCTGTCTTAGATATTCAAATGAATTTAAATAATTAATTAAAAGTCAGTTGCCGTCTGATTCGATAAATGGCAATTCTTGAAAATCGATTTGTATAAATTTTTCGCAACATTGACTTGTAGATACAGGACACAGCAAAGAAAATTCGAGGAAGATTAATAAAATAGACCGACGGATTTTTGTAGAATGGATATCGATACAATTGATTCAATAGTAAAAGGCTATTTTGTAACCGTTCAACAACCGCTATTTTTATATGTATATTATATTTCGTTTAGATTATGCAGCAAGTTCACGGAAGACCGAACAAATCAAAACTTTTCCATGTTTACGAAATCGTTCCCTTTCCTGCGTGGTTTCCTTGAGGAAGGTTCCATTAATTGTGACTTTGATAACTTCGAGAAGGCATTTTATCGCGCAATCATCGACGATAATTTCAAGTACAGCTGATGCTTGTCGAGTAATGGAACATGCGTATACAAGATGCTTCCATTTGTTTTTATCATTCCCGTCGATAATGGTAAGCAATCAAATGAAATACGAATGGGAACTTCATCGGTGGAAACACGCCTGCGCGAGATAAGGAAACGACGAGGAAAATATTGGTCTATCAGGTATAAAAGGACGAATTAAGTTAACATTTTCTCTACCACAAATGATGAAACAACGTAGTTATTTACAAAGAATCCATCGAACTGCGTCAGTTGTCAACGTTTAAATTGTGTATTGCAAACATCACTTCAACCAAATTCATTAGTCGAAATAAAAACTGTTTCGTACCTTATCAAATTTCACGCTTTGATTTAACCTGCTCACTGCATTTTTTGGTATCTTATACAAATATTGTTTTTCTCATAAAATTAAGTACCAATTTTAGGACTATTTGTAACATTTAAACATTGTTTTATAAACAGTGTGCTTGCTCACGATAAACAACGAACTATAATAGTAGTCCCATGAACATCGTCTTTCTAATGTTTGGATGTCATTTAAAGAAGTTGCGTACTCTCGATTATGTAAGAAATATTCCAAATATTAGCAGGTTAACATATATATAAATACTGATAAAAATGTAATGGAATATATGTATGGCCTCGAGGAAACAGGATACTCGAAATGATCAAGCTAAATAATATTATAGGAGATCAATAAGTAAAAAGAAAACGGTAACAAAAATGTCAAAGCAACAGTCCAGTTTCTCATTTCTACTTTCCTGAATAGTCTCGCTTCCAATTTCTGAAATCGTGTCCCCATCCAATAACGACGTGTCCATGATATTTCCTCCGAGAGCAATCTACTTTCTTTTCCACCTCTATCGTGTCTCTGATATTGGACGTCATATTTTCGCAGACATGCACGGCTTTTACTGTCATTGAAAGTACATTTCTCCACAGAAGAGCCCTACGGTGAATTAAACGAACGACCGCGACAGGTTGCGCGACGAACCCAACAGAAGCACTGTGTATCAGTCGAATTCGAACAGATTCTTCGTCACTGAATATTTTCCATCGTGTCAACAGCAAAGAGTTGGGAAAAACGTGGATAAGGATCACCTTAATTAAAGTTAGCTACGAAAGTGATCGATCAGAGCGGGAACGATTGTTCGCTGAATACGTCACAAGGAGAACGGAGACGGTCGTGAGGCGGCGGATCCGGAACGTCGATCCTGGATCATCTAACTTCAGAATTCGTTACGCGCCGTTGGGAACTACGCGAACAGTTGACGATTAATCTAATTGTTGCAAATTGTAGCGAGAAGGAAAATTCTTTCGTGATCAACGATTATTTTAACATCAGATGAATTGAACGATGCCTATTGAATTATTTATCTGCGATGTTTGCACCGTGATGAAGATGGAAATAGATTGCCTGTTGTTAAATTTTACGAATAAATCCTTCAACTTCCAGTGTTGCATCGATCCGACACTTATTTTAAAAATACGTCGAAAATTCTGTCGTCGATTAGTATCTGACATTTGCCAGCAAGGATTCACTCATGTCAAGTAGATCTTCACATGTTCAGTTGGAAAATTCAAGTATTCCCTCTAGAAATCAATAAAATCTAAATAACGACAGAAGAAAGCGATTGTTTGAATGTTATCTGGGACCATTTTCCTTCGTCATTTACATCCCCAACGTTACGAGACCCCGAACACACGATCCATCGCTTCGTCCCATCGAGTTCCCTCTCGCGAAGCAAGAACAGAACCGGAAGAAACATCTCCGTGAAACTCAGTGAAACGTTACAGGATTGAAGATACCGACTTCATTTTTCTCCGGCAACCTATCCACCCACCGATCGACAAAAGGCAAGGGAAACCGTTGGAAATTCCAGAACCGTGGCTGTCGTCGATTCGTTATCGAGTCGAGTGAGTTTCCTCGCCTGCGAAAAAGCCGATTTTTCGTCGGATCTAAGGTTCCACTTCGCGATAGACGTGATCCAAGAATCGATAAAAACGCCCCTCTTGATCTATCATCCCCCACCAACCACGACCACCACCACCACCATCATATATCCACACGAATGAAATTCAACGATCCATTGATCATCAAGGATGATAATTGCCGATAATGACACCGTAATCGGAATTCACCGTGCGTGAAAAAGGGGGGAAATGAACGGAGAACCGTATAATCGATCGACAAAAAAATGACACCGATCGGAAATTTCGAAATTACAAGAAAAAAGAGAGACAAAGAAATGAAAGACTGATCCACTTACCAGCTAGGAGCGCGCACTTTGTCAAAATGGTATTTTTCTCTAAGAAACACCTGTAATATAGGTCCCCCGATAATTCGTTACGCAACGGACACCAATTGACTGTCGCCTCGATTGTGTGGGTGTGTCATTCCGCCCCTCTCTTCTCGTATAATCATCCACGGAATGCCATCAGATGTCCCGGCCGCGCCGGTTGGACCTCGATAACAGCAGACCGATCGGTCGATCGCGATCTTCGAGTCCCCGATCGGGGAATTAAATCGTAATTATCGAGGGGACACGCCCGTGGCCCGTGCGAAAAATTCGAGTGTCACTTTAAGTCGTCGAAGATACGAGTACCTGTAACTATATTGTCCGGTCAACAGGTTGGAGTAGCTTGTTTGGAGTAGGGTGGACTTAGATTAGGGTCGAATCGATCAAAATACTGAATCATATACAGTCACTCGAAAATTATCTTCGCATATCCTTTAAAACAGAACAACTTTTTTAAACCTGGACGAAGTAACTTTTTTTGTAAGGTTAGAATGATTAGTGTAGTAAAGGATGTGTAAACAAAATTTTGAAAAAGTTGCATTTGATCGGAATCGCGCAGAAAATAATAAAGGATAGCTTTTTGAAACAAACATGATAGAAAGATTTGCAGCAATGCCTGCGTGTACCTACTGCATAATTAGTATTTAGATTCTCATTTATGAGGTAGAATGAAAAAAAAAACTTCATCTGAATGTAAAATACAAACATGTAAATACCGAGGTAACGTCGATAGGGTCGCGCACATTCCGATTGTCGAGTGAGAAAATCAGGTCGGATCTGGGGAACTGTGTTGTTCGAGATATCGTACCTTTAATCGATCCCGTATGTTGTGTAATTTGTTAACGATAAACTTCGAGTTTCTGCCGATAATTCTATTTGCAATTCACCCACGTCGAACTGTTATAACATAGATCCACTTCGGAGCACACACGCAGTACTAGATACAATTTCTGTTCGAAAGTCGAGGGTGAAAAACAAATTACGTTTCACGACGTGATTTAACAAAATGTACAATTTAAAGCCTCGAGAATGGAAAATTCGTCGACTGCGCAACGGTAGCTGTATTGTTCGAGCAAATATTGGCCATTTTGCGTGTTCCTTCTGGCTCTTAATAACGAAACGCGCGAAAATGTGAATACAGGTGTTCCTTTTAACACGAAAAAACACAATATCAAAGCCAGCCGCCCATCACTTATATGACTTCTTCCGACAGTTCACGATCGTATAAACCTCGCTGACTTATATTAATACCTGGTGTATATCGATTTCCAAACAATCTCGACACGTCTGAGCCGTTTAATTACCTAAATCTCGTTTCAATGAGCGCGATAATATTATGTTTACTCCTTTATTCGAGCGTGTAGCGCCAATATACTAATATTTACGTGTTCGGTAGATCAGGATGTTCTCGATTTTATTCCCCGTGATTTTTAGGCGAGGAGAATTCCTTCGATCGAGTGGTGACTACAAGAATTGTAGACGATTTAATGGAGTTTCGTACACGATTTGGAATTCAAATTTCAACGATCTAATTCGTGTTCAAAATCCAATTGGCAGACACGAATTTAAATATAGGAGTTCATGTATCTACGATCAAATTCAGATTCTAATTTAAAAATTACAGTATAATATATTCTGAAAAGTTACGTCGACTTAAAATGTTTCCTGTTCCAATTCAAATACCATCGATCGAATTCATAATCGCGGGCTCTTTCAATCTTCAACTGGTGCCACATTCCGACAAGCATAAACACCGTCTTGGAATTTGATAACGACCAGAACAGTAACACAAAGACAAATTAATCCACCTATATCTTCGAACCAATTAATTGAATATAAAAACCATGAGATCACCCTGTTTACACCTGCTCTATTCTCTTGTATTCGCATCATCGCGCATTCCAATGCATTTACGCAATTGCATCACGCAATAATCACGAAGTTTCGATAATATTTCGTCTGTCAAGCGTACACCTTGAATCATAAATAGGTGAGAATATATCCAACATGATTTCCCCAATACTACCGCTAAATGGATAAATTAAGATGAACGAAACGTGAAATGAACGTTCATATATACTTTACTGACAATTATTTTTAGCCGAATAAGGAAAAATCTTTCTTCACTTTTTTTACTTACTATTGTTTGCGAAGTTGCGTTAATATTTCGGGAACATTTACGATTTACAGTTGCGTAGATCCTTAGCGAACAGAACCCATTACACCACCAAAACCACTGAGACAAGCATTCACTTAATTTCCTACGTACCATAACTTATATTAACGTTTGCACAACTACTGTGAGAAGATTACAATTAAAAAATATAAGATCAACGATCATAAACTACACACAATTTCACGTCAAAAATCGAAAGGATCATATTTCGACTCCCAATTGGCACTACCACAAAATTCTCGCGATTTATAATAATTTCAATACCAAATATAACAAATAATGTTCATGTGGTAAATTTAGCGGAAAAGAATCAACGAGATACATATATTCTGAAACTGTAGCACGTAAGATATGTATGTATAAGATTATGTGAGACACGTACGATGGAAAAATAGCGCGACGTTCCCGGATCGTGGTCGGAAAGAGAACTGACCGACGATAAACCAAATGGGAAGGAAAGCGGTCACGGTGGGTCGATTAATTTAAGTTATTTAAAGGGAAAAAAGGTGTTTTGAAACACCGTCCTGGTCGCTGGCCGGATGAGGTAGAGTTTGATGGCATCTGTGCGTACCTGAACGTAAACATAAATGATGTCATTGTGCTAGAACAACCAAAAGGTGTGACCCGTAGGTATATACAGAATGATTCAAAAGCACAACAGGATCTGCAAATTTTTTTTTATTATATTCAAATATATATATATATAGTTTGTATAATATATAGTTTTCTATTATGCAGAGTGTTTTTATATATAATGTGCATTTATTGGTAGCATCTATCCTTCTATGTAATCTATAAAGTAGGCATATATCTTCTTCATTTTATTTCTTATTCCCTCAGGTTTCTGCCAATCGTCCATGAAAAATTACCGTGAACCTCTTCATCGTTCCTTAAATCACGGTAAACCAATCTGAAGCTTTCTAAGATTTTCAACAAATTGTCTTCCGCAAACAACGACGGCGTTAATGCGTCCAATTGCATTCAGGCACACGATCTGTTCCCCCAGATTTTCGTCGTGCATTTTCTCGGAACAATCCTCCAGGCTCGTCAAACTTGCGCACCGTTTTAAGGCCGTTTCGACCGTTAATTGTGCGGAACTGTTTACCAAGAAAATAAGCGGAACGCCCGACGACGGGTTCAGTACGGACCCGCGACACAATTTGCATAAATATTTCCGCTGTTACAGAACTGGTAAGCTGGTTATAAAACTCCAACGATATCCGTGTAATCTAATCGAAAAGATCCGTGGAAATCGGATTTTTCATGGTGGATCTTTCTGTAAACATTGCTTTGTGCGGAGTAATTTCAGCAAGATAGGATCCAAACAGGGATTTCTTATGGTTTTATAAGTCCTCATAAACTACACAACACCAAACAAAATGAATTTTAATAAAATTAAAGTCCCCCATCTTCCACAAAAATTAAGAAACAAAAGATTCAAATCGTAAACGATATAATCGTCCCGATCGAATACACGATCTTCCAACATCTGTGAACATTAAAATATTATTCTTATCCTGTTCCCCGAAGAAAAAAGAGGTTTCATCGGACTTCCGTCCAATGATAAATCCTTCCCGACTCAAAGAGACGTCTCCTCGAATAATCTCCTCGTCTTCCTCTCTTTCCTCTGTTTCCTGGGGATTAAAAAGACGTCTGAAAATTGCGTTCCCGTCCACCATCAGTTTTTTAACGAGAAAACTTCGGGTTTAATCGCGTTCATCCGAGAATTCGAATATCCAGAATGAAAATTTAGCAGCTCATGCATTTATTCAGCTCGTGCAATCAAAAAATTTGAAACTTATATATTTTATTCAAATTAGAAATATGAATGACTTAGAAATATGATATAAATAATGAACAAATTATTATCATTTATATATTTACGGGTATTATGCGTACGTTATCATGGACTAGCAGTGTTGTCAATATTATTCATGAAAGTCTGAATTTTTAGAAAGTTGTTGAACTGATTGACTGTTTTGAAAGATAAAATAAGAACTATGTTTTTGACCATTTAAGCAGCTGAAGGAGAATGATAAAATGTGGTCAAACTTATGGTCCTTCTGACACCTGAACTATTAATAAGACCATGTGCTCCAATGCATAATTATTGTATGCATTCCGAATTCCTTGGAACATATAGAAAAATGTCTCGTTAATAGTTTAGGCATCGGAACAACCATAAAGTTGGCCACTTTGAATCACCGTCCTTTTGATTCTGCATGACTGTGTGGTGGTGGAAAAACGTTGACGGATTCGAATTGAACGATAACCCAGAATTAATCGATACAGCCTGCACGCGCCGCATGGCGATTCGCGGCTACGTGTGTGTGCAAATTTTTAATTCGCCAATTATCCTTCGACGCAGGCAATTACTCCATTAAACGTGTGCCGCGGACAGGCGTTCGAATTTATTTCTTCCCTGACGCCGACAGGCAGGGAACGCAGAAAAAAAAAAGAAACGAACGCCGTAGACAAATCGACTACGACGTTCGATTTTCTTGCAACTCTGCACGATTAATTGCTCTGTTTGCGGCAATCATTAAGTTTATTTTATATCTGGTGTTGATTTCCAGGTATTTTGATCCTGTGACGGAGGATATCTTTGAAACTACACGTGAACCTTGAGGTTTTACGATTTTGCATTTTCCTGCTGGATATGAAACGGTATTAATGATCGTTGTTAATGGAACTGTGCGAAAAGATACGAGGAAAAAATTGGATCTCTTTATCAGTGTCTGTATCAGGCTGAAAATAATATAATTACTCTGCTAAACGTTACTGGCGTTTCTAGTTTATTATGAATTATTTATGCCAATAATGTGAATAATCTAATACTGCGGTTAAGTGACCCCAGTACAAAAGGTCAAGTTTTCTAATTCTTCGTCCACGAAGGAAGTTTCGTAGGTTCCCATTTCACGCATCCTCGACTATAGAAACTACGCTTTAGGGCGTCGTTAGGCGGTCGCGTGTCGCCTTGAATACTAAGAACGGTCGGGTCGAAAATGGAACGTATGTGTGTACAAATGACCCAAATGTGAGGAACGACGGTGAATCCCCCTGGATTTTTCACGGTACACCGGTTCTCCACGCGCGTGAAAACAGATGCGTCACGGGCGTCAGATTCGTGGATTCCCGTCACGAAGTATTCGAAGTAGCCCCGAAGCGGTCGTTCACGGCGACCAACAGATCGAGAAAGATTTGCGTGTGTCCGGTCACTTCACGGCCACGGGCGACTCGAGAGGAAGCCGAGTAGCCGCGAGCGAGCAGGGTCAGCCGCAATTGGATGCGATCCGAATGAGAAAATCGTCGTACAATTCGCGGTGACTGTTTACCAGTTCCCCCTGGCCTGTTAAAATGATCGATCTACGAAGTATGTATGAATATGTCTTTGAATGAATAATACATATAATGTATAGAGTAAAGTAGTCGAATATGAGACCCATTTTTTTAAGCACGCATAATTCTCGATTAAAAATACTTTTATTGAAATACGATACACATTTTAAATGTAAGATGTGTACACTTTATAGAATTCTATTGTAATAAAATAAAAATGAAAAGTATGCAAAAACACAAGGATTGAAAGTGGAAGACGTGGAAGAAAATTGTGTGAATGCTACAATATGTAATCATGTTATTGCAGGGACTTATAATCGACTGATAATTCGTTAGTGATAATATTATCCTCTTGGCATGAGTATAATACGCAAATAAAGTGAAACGAGCAATGTCTCCAAGCGTATTATTTAAACAAGAAGTCTGTGATTTTAGTAGGATCAAGATTTAATAAGAAATATGTATTACACAAGTAGCTGGGCATGCAGAAACAGTATTTCTCGAGTATAAGCAAACTTTCCTGCTGTTCTTCGGAGAAACGTGTGCTCGTGAGATCCCAATGTTTAGAAAGCATGACTTCCAAAGAATCTTTAAAGTACGTGACAGCTCATTATGAAAATCCTAGGCACTCGAACGTTGTCCTCAAATTCCCTACAGTTAAATACTAATAAGATACCGTGAACTTTCTAGGTATGTTTGCGTCATCTTGAAAAAAAGTGTACCGACACGATTGGTATAGCAGTGATTCACTGATTTTCAGGTACGGAAACACGTTAACAATCACTCCCACTTTAAGACACTCATACTTGCGTCAGAGTTTAAAAGCCCCAACCAACACAACGAAACGATTCCTATTAAACTCGTGCCGGAGCACCAGAGAGACAAGGATACTCCAAGGGTCGTCAGGACGACTTAAAGAATCTGTAAGACCCCTCGAGAATCTCTCGAAACCCTCAGTGACCTCCCCGAGGCTTTTAGAAACTCTCGAAGGATGCCCAGGACCTTCCAAGGGTCTACGAAAGTCGTTGAAAGGTCCCCTGAACCCTTCAAATACCCCAAGAAACGCCCAAAGGCGTGTAAAAACTCATTGAAGTTCCTTCTGGATCCTTCAAGTAGCTCCAGGAACCGTAAAAATTTGGAGTACGCTATCCTGAAGTATTCATTCTAATAATAATTCGATATTAATGAAGGACGATCGGATATACAAATGAATATCTTTGCCACTCAAACTTCTAAAAACCAATCGTCGAATTCCAGTTTATCGAATCGGTAGACCTCTATGTTTTCCTTTACGCTACAGCACGAAGCGTTTTTCTCCATTTAGTTAATAAAAATCATCTCCAATTGTCCAGACAAAGCGTTGAGAAATTCGAGGCAATATCGTGCAGCAATTCCCGAGCGTAGATAAGACCGAATGTTAAAGTTCATCCAGACTTCGCCTTTTAATTACTGGGTGGATCGAAACCCCCCGTCTGATAGTAACTTCGGTGAAATTTATCCGACAATAAACCTTCGGAGCACTTTTAACAACGAAGATATAGCGAAAAAAAAAACGTTCCAACAGACCTATCTCCCACGATATTGCATAACTTGTTACAATACGATTCTTCGATAAAAGTCACCGCGTAACTTTTACTTCACCAGAAGGGACGAATTATCGCAGATGATAAAGATTCCAATTTCTGAATTTCGCAAAGATTTCCCATGGTTAATCATCGGCCGTTTGAATTGTCTCCGTCGTGTAATGGTCGAAGCGGCGCCACTCGCTCTCGATAATCGATAATTGTGAACTTCCTTTTCGCCATTTTCCAGGAAAATTTCGATTACGCGCTGAGATTACGATCGACGAATTCCGTTCGCGCTATCTCGAGCACAGATTAACTTCGATTCTTTAACCAGAGTGACGTCAAGCCGCCGACTTTCTCGAGTAGTCCTCACAGCCTTGATCGAAGGTGGAAAAAGAGCGAAACGATCCTCTCGAAACCGGTTGCATCATCGACAGGTGAGCTATTATTATTCGTCGAAATTCCCGGGGCGATTGCGTCTCAATCGTCGGGATTATCCGACTTTGCGATCGAACCGTGTAGGAATCTGTTTGTTTACTCCCGTTACGAAAGCACAGCCTGGCGACGTCGAGACCGGTGATTGCTTTCGATTCATTATTCTTGGATGTCGCGCCGGGGTAACGATATCGAGGGAACCGGACGCAAACAGAAACTACGAGAAATCAATGAATAACGGGAATAAAAATAGTGACTAAACTAATCTGGTGTTTACACTTTTATGACGTTACTTTTCGATAATTCCTAAACGAAAAACAAAGAAAAAACGCACTGGTGAAAGTGAAGCGTATTGTCCCTGGCTAGAGATGGAGTGAACTGCTACTTGTGAATCACGAATGATTCGATCACTATAATGAAAATCCTGATAATTATTCGGCACAACTTGCACACACGTTGACAACATCGACGACAACGTGCCGATTTCTGAGTACATAATCGCGAATTCGAGGTCGTAATTTTCACGATGGTTTAGTACAATCTAGGGTTAATTTAAAGGTTAGAAGAAAGCGTGCACAAAAATGACGCCGCGTCAAATGGTGACCGTTTGTGGGTCGTTTGTTGGAAAACTCGTGAGAACAAAAATACACGGTCGATCGTACGGCGACTGGTCGATAGCCTCAATCGTTATCTTTGTTATCCAGGCACGAGGCACTCGTACCGCAGAATAGAAAAACGAAAAAGTGAATTGTGATGATGGCGTAGTTGTAACACAACGAATACGTCGAACAGTCACCTGTGCATTGGAAATCTTCCAATTTTAAGGGAACAATCATAGTGATTATCGCCCACTTATGATACCCGACATCGTGAGAACGAAACTGTCTTTACGAAATTACGATCGCGATTCAGACTTGTTCAGACAATGTTGGATTGTGCCAGGCGTCATAATTAACCTCCAGTCAATATAAAATTACTGATAACTGTAATGGAAAAAATACTCATTTATTACCTGAATGGAATATTTGGCTCTCTGTAATTTTTTGAAGGGATTTCTGGTACACAAAAGAATGGAAAATGTAGAATGAAGTTTCTTTCACGTGCGACCTCATTTTCACATAATCGAATTTTAATGTTTCCCTGCCTACGTGCGCACTTGAATACAATTTGTCAGACGTCCATTCGTTACTTTCTGATTCTACTTATTGCAAGCACTAATGATGGTCAGACTCACCTGTCAGATAAAGTTTTACAGTCATTTTTCTCGGAAACAATGCCTAGAATACGTAAATTTCACTTCGTCTCTACCATTTGTTATTGTGAATAATTATTATACGTCTATTTGTTATACGTATAAACGTAGTTCTATGGAATGACACGTCCATCTAACGTACTTTTATTCCTAGAAAAGCATAAACGTAGACGGTGACACGAACACAGTAACGACGATTAGGTACAAAGTCGTTTATTTTTCCGATACTTTTACTACATCTTACACCTAGTTCATGGATTTTATGTATTGACAACAAATTGAAGGATGCAGTGCAACGTAATGAAAACATGACGTGGGAAGTGGAAGAAGGGATTACTTAAATTTCATATAAATGCACTTCACTTGTCTGAAAAAAAAAAACAAGAAAACCGATGAACACATTTGTCAATGCCGTTAGAAGCCATTATTGACATAGCAGTGGATGGTAATCAGACACATCTCCAACTGAACGTTGTCATTCTTCCAATATACATATTCAGTTGCACACTACTTATCGTATCGCCCAGAATGTCATCTAACGGCGATCCAGCAAGATCGAATCAATCAAAAAATCACGCGAACGGTAGGTCAACGATAACTCGATGAGTGTATCTCGTCAATGAAATAAACGGACGAGATGCTGACCAAGGTTTCTCTCGATTGACCCTTGCATGACGGACCGTCAAAGCTGATAGCAGGGTCACTCGTGACCCATAATAGACGCTACGTATATTCTACATAAACAATTCACATTCATTTACAAAACTTTGCAAGAAAATCAATAGAAAATATGAATTTTTATAGAAATAGAAAAATCACGGTATCCTGAAAGGATTGTGTCCCAGTCACTGCCAAGCTAGATTTAACCGATCGATCGACCTGGTACTAGGGAATGTATCGTGCATTTGCTGCAATAAAAACACAACTGAAGAATCACGATTTTTCGGAATATAAATTTGAATGTTGGCTATCATTTTGTACGGACATTGTATATTATTGACTGACCTGACGTGGTAAGTTTTGGAAGCTTACTTACAGGATTCAACCGGTGGAAAGTACAAAAAACAATCGTTTTTTTTATACTAATAACTCAAAGATTGCAAATTTTGAGTTATGTCATTGTTGCAGCAAATGAACGATATGAAAATCACGTGAAAATCGAGTGGAATCTGTCGAATGATTAAGGAACGGGTTTGATCGGTTGAACGCCACCCTGTAACTCAGTCTGAATCTCCTGGTAAGTTTTCCCTTTGGTTTCCGGGACGAGGAATTGCGTGAACCCGGTCGCGCCGGCCATGATCGCGGCGAAGATCCAGAACGTCGCGTCTGTACCAAGCTCGTCGTTCATCGCGGGGAACGTTTTCGTCACCAGGAATACCATGAACCAATTCAACATCACCGCGACACTGGAAGCGATCGCTTTTGTGTCCGCTGAGAATAGTTCTCCCATCAACATCCACGGTACTGGTCCCAAACTATATAGAAGCAATAAGAAATTGATGTCAATCGATGAAGACGAAGAATTTTCTATAGATCAATTTCGTGATGTTAAATTAACTCAATTAATTCAATTAACTCAGTTCACTCTGTTAACCCTTCGACGCCAAAATTATTTCTTGCGATTAGCTAACTCAAAAATGGTCTCTAAGGTTTGGACTTCTTTGTCGATTCAATCATATATCACCTGTAGAGCATAAAGGATACCTACTCCGTGGAAACGCGTTAACTATTACGAGTGATCTCGTCAATCTCGATAAAATCACCGTGAAATTTCTGTCGTCGATCCGTCTGTTCCCACTCACCCGATCGAAAAGGCAACCATGAAGACGATCAGTGAAGTCAATGGCAGCCAGCCAAGGGAGCTAACGTCACTTCCGCCGTCTTTCTGCTTGAAGTAGTATCCAAGAGCTATCAGGCTGACTGACATAACGCCTGTGGAAATCATGAGCAACGGCTTCCTTCCGGCTCGATCCACAATCAACGCCGCGACACCTGACATTACCAACTGCGACGAATAAAACGTACAACGTAAACATCGTTACCAAGTCCCGTCTTATCCGTTAATTTACCCTGGTTGACGACGCGATTAAAGTGGAACAAAAATCCACCGACGGAATTGCCCCAGCGTCCAGGGGAACGTAAATATTCGCGTTCCTGTCGTTAGCAAAGACGTTGCGTTTTCAAGTCAAATTACGACCGTTTAAAAGGAAACGATTAGAAGACAGACTATTATCTCGGAACCGGCCGGGACTACTATATCTTTGTCTCTAATCTCTCGTAATCTTCTGCAAACAGGACGTAAGTACCGAGCGAAAATACTACGTAGTAAGTTCGAAGGTAAATATCTTTCATTCTTAGCGACATTAAGGTATTATTCTAGGCAAATTGCTGAAAGATAAACAGAAGCAAATTGTTGCGTTGGAATTGGTCGACATACTTTAGGCTAACCTAGACTTCTTCCCGTTTGTGTCTAACGACTTTCTGAACTGATTCGTTATAAAGCTCTAGAAGCTTTATCGCAATTCTTTAGAACTTCTATTGCAATGTGAAAATAGAGGAATTAGTTAATTTATAGATTTCTATATTTTCCAAAATTTGTGACGTGTCCGATCCGATAAAGATGTTAACCAAAAAAACTACTTACTCATAAGAGTGAACACATTCACAGGGTACCCCGTAAAAGAAATACAACTTTTTTTTTTTTATTAAATATGCACTACTCTAAAGTATAACAAGACACTCCTGGAATGTTTCAATTTACTCATTTATATCGAACGGATTGATTTTATAAAATTTCATAAAATCACAGTTATTCTATCGAAACCTGTTTTATAAGGAATTATCAGAAAAAACGAACCTGAACGAGCGCCACAAGAATGGATGCCACTTCCGGCGCCATCGAGCTCCCAGACGCCTTGAAGATCATCACCGTGTAGAAGATCACCGCGTTCACACCAGACGCTTGCTGGAAAAACATCATTCCAAAGGACGCAAGCATGGCTTTCCTATGAACCGGAGATTTTAACATGTCAAGAAACGTAGTCTTCCTTCCGGAGCTTTGATCAGCGGCCATCTGCATGTCGTTCAATTCTTCCCCGGCATCGTAATCGTCGCCCCTCAGCACAGACAACGCGACCGTGGCGTCTTGTTTCCTCCTCTCACCCTGGAAAACATTAATCACAGCGCGTCGAAACGGCTCAGAAGCTCCACGGAAGCCTGGGATTAATTTCCAGCAATTAATTTCGAACTGTCCCAATGGCAGTACCCAGGGCTTGATAAACGGTAGACGAATCGATCGATCGATTCTCTGGACTCGAGAGTCGGATGTTTGTCGTGTAATAGCCCTGTTTAATTGAGCTCTACGTCTATGATATGTCTCCTACGTGATCAAGACTTTCAAACAGGTGTCGCCTGCAGTTAGACTAACTCGCTGTAATCTCGGTTTAAGTTGCTTGATCGACAAATTAGATAAGTCTCTTGTCCATGTTGGATCACGGGTAGTTTCTATTACGTTCAGATTGATCCAGTCGAAGTAAGTATGTCACTTATCCGTTAGAGGGATTTTCTATGGATTCTCAATGATCGATGACTTGGTCATATTACTAAATTCTCGTGGAGTTTCTAGAGTTTGATTGGAATTAAGATATTCGGACAGCACTAAGGCTGGAGAGGGGAAATTTTATTAATTGTAAAAAGTCGGAACTGGACATGTGGACCTAGTTGTCTGCCTGGCTACCACACATACAATCTTGTTGTTCAATCCATAAGTCTTTCTGAAAGACTGAGGTAGGATCGAACGTTTCGAATGCAGTGATGTATCCTTATGTGTGTACGTAGAACAGTAGTGAGGCGTTTTGTCAATCGAGGCATAGTACCTAGTTTTACTATAAACGATAAGGTGAAATGAAAAGAATAACAACAATAAAAGCTCACCATCAGCCAGACAGGGGATTCAGGCATCCAGTAGAATGTGCCCAAAAAGAGGACGATGATCAGAGCGCAAATAAGAGCGAAGACGGTGTAACTGAGGACACTCCCAAGAACGAAAGCAACGAATATCCCAACGGTAAGAAACAGCTGGAACAGGGCACCAAGGGTTCCCCTAGTCGAGACCTCAGAGATTTCGTTGATGTAGGTCGGTCCAAGGACGCAACCAGCCCCGACACCGATCCCAGCTATGAATCTGGCGATGTACAGAAGCCAGACTTGCGAGGCGATTAGAATCATTCCCCAGGATAGAAGAAACGGTACCGCCAACAGGAGTAGAGACTTCTTCCGACCTAACTTGTCCGCCATTCCTCCAGACGGAAGGGCACCCGCGATGGCCCCCAATGCCAACAAAGAGCTGATCCATGAACCCTGATCCTTGGTCACCACCATGAAAGAATCAGGTAAATACAGCTGAGGAAGCACTGGTGAAGTCCATGCCAGAGCTGTGCCGACTCCAACCACCAGGAAACACGCTGTAAAAGAAATAAGAAAAAAAAAATTTGTCTTTTAGAGTATTGTGTAGTAAAATGTGTTCTATTAATAAGGTTTTGATTTTTTTTAGAGCCTGTTGGAAACCTTAACACTGTGACACCGATGACACCATGATGTGAGTGTCAACTGGTACTTTTTAGATATTCGAAGTTATTGCATTTTTTTTTTTAAGTACACAGGAAATAGTATATTTTCTTAATGCTTGGCGAAAACACTCGGCCATTGGTGAAAGTTACTCGTGAAATTGAAATGGTCGTAATAATATTACTAGAGTTAAAAACTAGAGGATTAGTAATTGGACTATGATTCATTGTTAGCGATTTGAAGAAATAGTGGGGATAGTTTATCTACTGTTTAGTAAGAAATACAGTGTGTCAATATCTATTACCGCGGTGAGTATCTCTGATACAGAGGAAACGGACGAAAAACTGGTTGAACTGGATGGTAAAAAATAGTCATCGTATAGAGATAGTGATTTCTTCGCAGATGGAGTCGCTTCCAAGATACAAGCGTCACTTCTACTTTTTTCTAAACGTTACAAGTGTCTATAGGTAGCGCCTGTTATGTAATATTGATAGAATTATTAATACAAATTTAACGTACTCTTTGAAACTCACATCATCATCGCTAGTTAGATACATTTATAAATTTGATCTCCTGTATTTTTAACTGCATCAGGTAAAATATAAAAGAAATAGTAGGCTCTGTCCCGTGATCATTCCACTTTCATTTCGGTTGAATTCAGTTCGAGAGGTTAATAGTCATGGGAACGTAAGGAACCTATATCTTTCGTAACAATTCGACTATCTTCCGATAACATTACACTTCAACATTACACGTATCTGGTACATTTCAATTCAATTAACGAATTAAATGTCAATAAACCGGGAAACTTCATAGGTTCGATAACGGACAAGTGTCTGCTGAAAGAACTCATAAACGAATTGAGGGCGGGAGATGATTATTTGACAAAATGTAACAGTAATATTGGACAGAACAATGTGTCTGGTCTGTCTTTTGGGGAACGGGACAGTGACTCCGTTGTCCCAAATGCGTACAGTTGAATCATGAATATATTCCTTTTTCTATTATTAATCCACTATTTCTTTTAATAAGACAGGGATATACATATATCCAAGTACAAATTAAATTTTAAATTTGCTCACATACAATTTTCAAATTTATCAAAAAAATAGTGGATCGCTCAGAAAATCACAGTCACAATTTTGCATTTTTCAAAGGATTATCCTAATCGAAAACCTGTGAAATTACTCTATTCATTGCACCAATCTCTCCCCCAACAATATCAAAAGCACTACTGTCCCATAAGACACCACAGATGATCAAGAAGCAAGATCTACCCAAAGGATACCGCGTGCATTACATTCGAAACGACGTCTAACTAATTCTAAAGCCACCATCGTCCCGGAGACAATGCAGAGAGACAGAGAGGATCAAGAATGAAAGATCGAGTGGTTACGGGAAGGTGATGCGCTTAAATACCGGAAATAGAAGCGAGGTACTGCCACAGCTTCCTGCTCTCCTGGCGAACGGTCGTCCCATTAATCATCCCCGTGCCCTCCATTTCCTCGAAAATTATCGTCTCCTCGACAGGCTTCAGATGTGTTTCACCGTGGAATAATCGACCAGGCCAATCGATCCTTTCGTGGACCACCACGATCGACGAATCCTCGAGCGTCTCCCTCGCCGCAGAGGGACGATCCACCGGCGTCGGGCACCTTTACCTCGATCCGATTCAACAGCACACCGGGTCCCGTGGATCAAGTGAACGTCATTATTTCGGATTAAACGCAAAGCCGATCGAAGAAGACCGAATGGGCACGGGAGTAGTACGAGGGCCATGATATATCGCGGTCCCACCGCTATCTTTCCTCCATCATTATCGGACCACGCCATTATCGCTCTACGATCGACGGTGGAAATGAAAAAAATTCATCGATTAACGGTAGGTAGTATCTGCTTCCCGCTCGGTTGACTCGAAAATCCGTGAACGGGACGCGTAGACGCCTACGATGAGACCGGAGTGATGTTTGCGCAATACACATCGGAATCGTTCGATCCGGGGAACAACCGTGTACATACGTATATGTACATTGTCGTTCATAAGTATTAGGACACCTTGTCTGTACGAGGAGATCGTGCTGTTTAGTAAAAATTGTATATTTATCCATCGAGATTTAATATTCTCTAGACGATCCTTATTTCAGACATTCAGCAATCTCGTAATGTCTTGTAACATTTACCGCATATTCGGTATGTGTTTAAACATTTTAAATAGTCTCAAATAGTCTATTGATTCTTGATTTTATGAAAAACATTTTTATATAAGATACTGAAAAGATGCAGTGAACGGGTTAACATCCCCTGAAGAATATTCATTTGAGATTTTCAACACTTTCGTAATGCCACGTTACATTTATCTGATATTCGATAAGTGTCCTAAGATTTATGAACGGGAGTGTCGATGATCAACAATGGGACCGTTTGGGAAAGCTGGAAATGCCTGTCGCCTGACTTACTTCTAGTTCTGAGTAAAGTGTGAGTCATTCTTAATGAGGTGAATAACCAGAAACCCCGAAAACTTTCCAACTGTTGAACGGGGAAGCCCAGGTCACCTGTAGAATTTGATCAACCGTATCTTGGAATCACTTTTTCTTGTCTTCCCTATTTACGTCATAATATTTCCGTATTAAAGCATCGATCGCGGTCGCCGTTCACCTCTGTCGTTGGCAAAGATGGATTACTGGGTTCCCCCTGGTCGCAGCCCCTGACTTAGAGAAGACTTTCCTAGAATACCGCACCAGCTCAATCATCTCTTTGCTCGTGACTCCTAATGGGCACTTATCAAAAGCTTCCCGAGACACCCGAAGCGCAAAGATCGCAAAGAAAGCAACTGAAACAAATTCCAAGACGTGCAACACCGTGAATTTTTAATTAAAGAAGATCGTCCTCGCTGTAAGGATCTCCTGTGTAAATTACTCGACAGTTGAAAAGCTTGATAACCTACAAGTTCAACTGCAGAATTTATCTGCAACGAGTTTGAACAGTCTGTTTCGAGCGCAAGTCCTTTGAGTATATAATTCAGGACACGGAAAGTGTATAACGCCAAGAGAGAGATTTTGTTACGCGATAGAATATCAGCCCTCCAGCTGCGTTACTATTTATCGAGGACACAAGGATTATGGGGATGACAGGGTAAGCCCATCGAGGGATTAACGAACGGGGGCGAAACACATTTTGTAATGAAGTTACGGGACCGTGAACCAGATGGCCGATCGACGTAAATCTAAACGTAAAATATTATATTTAATCATTGGGCTGCCTGGAATATTCCTTTTGGAAAATTGACAGAACTCGAGATTCAGCGCCGTGCATATGTTATACAGAGTGAGTCAATACGAAGTAGTATCTAAACTAACTCGTTATCTATTGGTTGTATCAAAAAAGGTTTCAATGAATTATGTAGCATTTTTTTATATCTTATTTTTGTTCAGATATCAAAGTAAACTTGAGTTTTCTCAAGGTCAATGCATCTTTTTTTAATACATATAATAACATAATTCATTAAAACGTTTTCTGATACAACCAATAGGTAACGAGTTATTTTAAATAGTCTTTCTTATTAACTCACCCCGTATATCCACATCAATTTTTGGTGAAAAAGATCACTTCTTTATGAAAAAAATGCCAGCAGTCTAAAGGCTAATGACGTATTCGATGGCCATTAAGCGAAAGTCAGCTGTTTAGACATTTAAGAAAATTAAATCAATTTCGTTTAACGTTCGAGAATCTGTCAATCATTCGTTGTTTTTCCGTTTCTATGACGGCCGATCGATAACGCTCGTGATATCCTGATGATGATCGGCTTATATTCCGCTGGACAACATGTTTACGATTCGATTTTACGATCGAAGCTCCGCAAGACCTTCCGCGGGGGAGCAAAAATACGATCAGTGGCTTCCGTGTAGCTCTTGCTTCTGGTATCGCAGAGATTTTTGATTCTCGCGGGAGTTAGATTACATGACACCTGTACTAGATTATCAACGTGAAATCCAAAGGTACGCTTTCCTTGTCTGACTAACAGACAGATCGAACTACTGGGAATATTGAAAATGAAGAAATTTTTGTTTGACACCACTTCCCATGAATTTAGCAATAATACTATATATGTCCATAAACATCCACAGTCTAATGAATGAACTATTGAACTATAGCTACTAATGCTATTGAGCTATTATAACTAATGGCTATACTATTGACAGTTTGGACAGCAGCACTAAATCCACGAATTCTCCAATATGATATCGCGCGATCTGTTTCACGCCGAGACAACTGATTTAATTATTTATAATAACCTGAATAATCGATCGATTCTTGACGTTCGAGTGTCCCCCTTCAGTATTTAATCCCGCCACCTGAAACGACCTTATCCTGCCATCGAATTTTCGAGCCGCTGTCAACCGCGATCAACGCGTATCGAAACGAGGATTTTGCTACCCAGTTGCACAGCTACCAGAATTACGCTGGATCTTCAATTTCCATCCGAGATCCATCGTCACGAACCGGTTCGACAGAGATCGCTGGTCGTTAATCGTCGAATGGTAATTCTTGTCGACGATTAAAAGATACACACGGGGCCTATCAATTTGTTAATTATGACTGGAAACGACGTGTGGATCAAGAGATAAACTAGGACCACCGTCTCGACACGTTATCAGGGATAATCGGCTGAATAGACGAACCGAATGCGTTGTGATGTCGCAGGAATTTAATTAATTCGAAGAACGGTCTAACGTTTCAGTGCCTCCTCGTTCCAATAGGGCAGACGGAATGGTTATTCAAGGCAACTCGCAGAGGGATTCAAACTTTCGACCAAGAACATTGAAAAATTGTAGGTGAAACACGAATTTAAATTTGATATTCTGACGAAAACGCATGAAACTAAAATATTAAAGGGTTTACTGAACTGGCGCAGAATCATTAGTTTCGCGATCTAACGAGCTATCGAGGTTTTGATTACGATAATTATGCACTAGACCGCGGATTTTCATGCAAATTCAGATTTTTGGAGCATAATCTATTGAACTGAAATTAAGTTAGATATTTATTTGCATTATTAAAAGTATCCTTTGGTCCAAAATAAAGTAATATTTATATTGGTCTTGGCTAAAATTTTAACCGTATTGTCCTTTGCATATTCATAATTATGATGAATGCATAAAATCCACATTCTAATAATTACTAGAACTTGGATGTTTGACCATGTAGTATACACACAGGGAGGCATAAAAAGGAGAATGAAATGTACTAACATTAATAACTTAAAAGCTTTAGTTTTTCTTCTCTCTGTAAATTAAAAAAGCTTATAAACAAAGAAATAACGTGAGTTGATCCGCCATATTGTAGCGTTACGAACGAGAATGAAATGTCAATCCAGTTCCTTGAGTAAATTACACCAGAGAAATTTGAATTCACGCAAAAGTCCACGTTTTGATAATTATCAATATGTACACGCCAACTCAGTGTCACGTGCAAGAAAGTTGACTCCATCTTCAGTTGACAAGCATCCCCAAAAAAAAACATAAGCCACCGAAAGCAAGACATTCATTAATCGACTCGTTTAATTCAGCCAGAATTCACGTGAATTTTAAATTTACAGCCACCAAAAACTGTCTGTTCCGAAAATAGAAACAAAGCTGGTTAATCAGTCGTCGACGTGTTTGTGTTATCGCCAAATGTATAATTATCGTAGAGAATCTCGGTTCCCAAGCCGGAAGAAACTTAACAAATTTCAATTCAACGATTCGTGCAGACAACTTTCCCCTCTGTTTCGCGATGCAGACACCACAAACGATCCAGGAGCTGCTCGCTTATCAACGATTCGTCTACTATATTTGAACAGTTTATTGCGGGATTTCGATCGAACGAGCAAAAGGATTCCGTCGAGTGGTTGACGGGCAGGAATGATAGACGACTCGGCGATAAATCAGTTGGTAACGGAACTTATCTTAATCGGCGCAGTGTTTGGCGAGCAATGGCAATGAAACGGTGCCAGTAAATCAGTGAATGATCACGGCTCGATCTACGGGGCGATAGCGAGACATTGCAATTCTTATCGGTGGATCTACCGAAAAAAAAGAAAACGGTGGCTTGATCGACATATAATAACGGCTGAAAGTTTTAGGGTTATTTCTTCGATTAATGATATAACTCGGTTCTTTTAAGAGCACATTTTTTAATAAAATTGCGCCTATAGGAACGTAATAGTTGAGTTTAAAGTGGCGTGATTTCCAAAAAGGAGAGATTCATAGAAATAGGTATTTTATGTGGAAAGTGCTATTATTGTATAGAATTGTTGTAATTATCGCCTTCAGAGTTACTGTCGATAGTGTAGGTAGACAAGGCTACGTCCTGAGAAGCCGTGAAACGTTATCAGAGACTGATTTCCTGCACAGATTAGACCCTTAACTGCGATCTTACCTAATCCAGCGACGTGCAAAAATTACATCAGGGGACAAACGGTCTGTGATGAGGAAAGTTCGATTTCCCGCGTTATTGCCATCGATT